TTTAAGAGATTTTATTTGAACCGAGATTTATACTATATTATATAGTCATCATCAGGGAACAATATAATTCAAAAAGTACTATTTAAAAAGTGTATAATTTAACTATTGTCCAATTAGCCCGTTAAAAAACAAAATTATTATTAACAATATTTGGTCATTAAAACAAAAATCATAAAATAATTACTGAAAATATAAATGTTTCATATATTAAAATATATCTAATTAAAAAATGTTAGATAAAAAATTTATTTCAATAATTAATTGTGCATTATTCATATTTTTCTTATTCGATATGAAATGTCTTTCAGAATAGTTTTTTATATATATATAGTTCTCTTTTCAATTCAATCTAAAGTTTACTTAAGCGTACCCATGTGCGTATGAGTAACATTATTTTATTTATTAATTTGAATGAAATTGTTTATAGGATTACTTAATTGTGACGTTATTATTTGCATTTTAAACAAATAATTTATTCATAATTTCAAAACTAATATTTTTTTCTTAATTTGGTGCAATTTGAAGACGATTACGTATTAAATTATGCTAAAAGAAATATATATATAATAATGGTTTTTATATATTTTTTATCCGGTGATAGCTCACTTTTCGTTAAAATTAAAATTAAATGTTTGTTTAATATTTTTTAATATATTCTTTATTTCGACGTTTCTTGGGAATCATCATCAGAATCAAAACCTAATATAAATTTATATTAATGAAATCTACATTGTGACCGAAAAGTTTCCGGAAATTTTAAATAAAACGCAAAATTCTTAATCTTCATCAATATTTATTTTATCTCCTTCAAAATATGCTCCATTAGAAGCGATACACAAATGCCAACGTTTCTTCCAATCATCAAAACATTTTTTATAGGCGCTTTCCGGTATGGCTTTGAGTTTCCTCTGCGAATTCTGTTTTACGTCTTCTATGGATTCAAAACGCGTTCCTCTGAGTGGTAATTTGAGTTTGGGAAACAGGAAAAAGTCACACGGTGCAAGATCAGGTGAATACGGGGGCTGTTCGATGGTATTTATTGAATGTTTGGCCTTAAAATCGTTGATAATGTTGGCTCGGTGCGAGGGAGCATTATCGTCATGAAAAATCCATGAATTATCCTTCCACAATTGAGGCCGTTTACGGCGGATATTTTCACGCAAACGTCTTAAAACAGTCAAATAATAGGCTTTATTGACTGTTTGTCCTTCAGGGACGAATTCATGATGCACCACACCACGAATATCGAAGAAAACAATCAGCATTGCCTTGATTTTCGAGCGACTTTGGCGTGGTTTTTTCGGTTTCGGCTCGTCTTTTCCTCTCCATTCCGATGATTGTTGGCTTGTTTGCATGTCGTACTCGTAGACCCATGTCTCGTCACCCGTTATGATGCGTTCCATGAAAGTTGGATCGGAATTGGCACGATCAAGCATGTCTAACGAGACCTGTCCACGATGGTGTTTTTGGAACAAATTGAGGTGAATCGGAAAAAGCCGAGCGTTGACACGTCGCATACACAAATTGTCCACCAAAATCAAACGAGCCATCTCACGACCGATGCCTAGCTCTCGTGCTATCTCTCTAACACTCACATGAGGATTTTTGAACACGATTTCCTTTGCCTTTTCAATGTTTTCGTCGGTGGTAGAGGTCGAAGGTCGTCCAGAACGCGGCATGTCTTCGACGGTCGTACGACAGTCCTGAAAGGCTTTGTACCACTCATAAACTTGAGTTTTCGATAAAACTGATTCCCCATAAGCCTTTTGTAGCATTCGCAACGATTCTGCACACGAAAATTCGTTCGAAACACAAAATTTGATGCAAACTCTTTGATCAATATTTTTTTCCATTGTTTTTCCGCAACGCAACTATGAGGTGAACTGTTTCACACTGCGTAACGAACTGTCGACATCACTCATTTTGCATGTAATTAAGACATGCGCCAACTACATAAACTTAAAATATCGAAAAATATACAGCGCGCGAATTTTAAATGAGAATTTCCGAAAACTTTTCGGTCACAATGTATATCTAAGCGTCATCCTCTTCATTCTATTGTAAAATATATAAAAACCATTATTAAAAAAACAGGTCGATAAATGAATTCAAAATATATATGTAATATATATAAAAAAATACTATATGCATACATATAATGAATAATAAGTAATAATAAAGTAATTTAAGTACGATGATGTAGTAATTAAATATGACTAAAACCTGTTTCTAAAAACAATTTTGATTTGATAAACGTTGTTAAGTCTAAGGCATAATATATACCTAAAAAGGAATACTCTCTAAATCGTAAAATATAAAAGTGACTTAGAAATAAAAAAAAACAAAAGTATTTCTTCAGTTCAGTTATTTGTTTGTTTAATTACTTATATTATTATTTAATTTTCAAAACAAAAAATAATTGGTAAATTAAAATGCTTAACTTAATTTGATTTGTTCTTAAAATATATGGTACGTTCATATATATAGTACTATATATATATATATAGTACATACTACATACAATATATTTTTACTCACTTACAAATTCGAGTAAAACAACGTTCAGTAAATAAAACTTTATTTATTTTCTTGATATAAATATAACGAATGTTTATTAATCTAACAAATTCTAAGCATTAAAAAAGAGCGGAGTGCAAATTATATTGAAAAAAAAAAAATTAATAAATAATATTTATCACATATTATAATGTATACTTATAAAATATTTATATTTAAATAATTTTATATTTCCTTAAAAATAATTTTGTAGTTTAATAGTTTAATAAACATAAATACGTATTTAATTATATATATATATAATAATTAAACATTGTCAAAATGTTAGTTACCGTACTCCTCCGAAACGGCTTTACCGATCTTTACCAAATTTTATATGCGTATTCAGTAGGTCTGAGAATCGGCTACTATCTATTTTTCATACTGCTAAAGTGATTAGGGTGTCCCTATCCAGCAAAAATATCTTTATTGCTTTAACAAAAATTTTTTTATTTTTTTGACATAAATTTTTTTATATTTTTGAAAAAGAAAAATTTTTTCTTAATATTTTATGTAACTACGCCAACAAGTACATCGAGCATTTACATTCACTTCGTTTCTTCGTCTTCGCCTTGCATGGCAGATGGAAAATGTACTAAAAATTTTTCTAAAGATTTCACTAATGATACTATAACAAATACCGACGAATATCCAATATATCGTCGAAGAAATCCCGATAATGGGGGACAATGGCGGGTGGTGCCATATTCGCCTCTGCTAAGCAAGACATACAATGCTCATATAAATGTTGAGTTTTGCAGTTCTGTGAAGAGCATCAAATATATAAGTATGTCCATAAAGGCAGTGATATGGCTGTGTTTAGAGTAGAAAATACTAATGTAAATGCTCCTCCAATGAACAAAAACGGTGAAATTACGTTCTACCAAATTGGTCGGTACATCAGCTCCAATAAAGCTGCTTGGCGTATCTTCGGTTTTCTAATTCATGAACGGGATCCAGCAGCTGTTCAGTTAGCCGTCCATCTTGAAAACGGTCAGCGTGTATTTTTCACGAACGAGACAGTGATTGATCGTGGTACAAATCCACCTAAAACTACACTCACTGCATTTTTTGAATTGTGTAATAGTACGGATGATTTTGGTGCCTTTGCAAGAACATTACTCTATTCACAAGTACCACGCTATTTCACATGGGCTCAAACAAAAAAATGGATGCCCCGCAAGCAAGTTTCACCAGTTGATCCATGTCTCAATTCATTTAAATCGAACGCTTATTTACAGATAATCCAAGACACACTGAGTGCTTTTATCTTCGACTGTTGTTGGTTAATTTTACTGGCCCATTATCATTATTATTATTTACAGTCAATCCAAGACAATTTAAATTTGAAGATACAACAGTTGTTGCCAGGGTATATATAACTAATGGATATGACAATACATGATCCATCTCTGAGTGTGATACTGGATATTCAGGAGTAGATCCTATAATACTCAAATTTATAATACTCTGGAGTATATAAGCTTAAAAATATATGTGGTTGCCGCCGCTGGTATTTTTATTTTCCTTTTCGTTCATAGCGCTTCATGCCTATTTCATGCATATACCACATACTTACCCACTTATAATAAGTAAATTACTTTTTGTCTACACTAGAATTTATCTAGAAACTAGAAATAATTTATAAGGCAAAACAACGTTTGTCGGGTTATCTAGTAATTATATATAATAATTATATAAAAATGTAATAATTTCATAACTCTAGTTCTAATAGTTCTAATCTAAAATCTATTTAAGAAAATAAATTGTGAAAAGTAATTAAAACTTTATTATTAATTTTGAATGTAAAAGTGTTTTCAAATCAATTTGTAATACGAGGGGTTTGTATATTTAATAAAAAGTCATAAATGAAGACATTTAAACAAATTTAGTCAAAGTCAATATAAATAAGGTTACTGAGTAAGTCAAATGGCCGATAAAAGTTACTGGAAATTTTACCATTTTAGATGTTTTTAATATTTAAATATTTTGCAAGATTTCTTATATACAAATTATAATAATAAAATAAGATGAAACTCAAAAAAAAAAATGAGTTTAAAGTAAATAAATGTGATATTAAATTGTTGATGCTGGGAGATAAGACTTGTCTTGTAAGATAAAAATATAATATAAACCGAATTATTATCTATGGAATTTAATTCTTATGTATTTTGAATTTAAATAATCAACACTTTAATTCTAAGTTATAAAATTAGTTAGAAAACGCGTTTGTGGTGTAAAGACTTACCTTAGCACGACTATTCTGTAAATATATGTATTTTATATGAAAAAAAATTATTAATTCTAGTGAAGTGATTACAATGAGAAAACAATTAAAAGTAAACAAAAAAAATATTAAAAAAATGTAAAACTTAAAAATAAACTATTTAAAACAATTATAATTGAATAATAAATACAATTAGTTTAAATATATACAACTAAAAATGGCAGGTTATCGTTCGTTGCCATTAGCACCAGTTTCAGCAACAACAGTATCGGCTACTGCAGTTGCAGCTGCAGCACCGCCTACCGGACCTACCATGTACCATCATCAATCGATGACGGCTATGTCGAATAATGGCATTATCTATCAATCTGCAGTACATGCTTCAATACATAGTTTAAATACAGTACAAAATCAACGATCCTCCACAACACATCATCATCATATTCTAGCAACAGCGGCAGCAGCAGCAGTTGCTGCTACAACACGTCAATATACAACAACAACTGGTTCCGTTCCACCGTCGGCACAAACAATACCACCGCCACCAACACATCCGTTGCAAGCAGTTGCAGCAGCGGCAGCAGCTGTAGCAGCTCCGCAAAATGGTCATCATGCTTTAGTTCACCCACAATATCATCATTCACAACAGCAACAACAGCATACGCAGCTGCAACAACATCAGCAACAACAAGCGGCTCATCATCATCATCACCACCACCATCATCATCATCAGCAACTGGCATTGCATCAGAATCACTTGTTTTTTAGTGGTTCCAGTGTTGGAGGACATCATCATCATCATCGTCAAATTTTTAGTCATATGCAAAGTGCACTCTTACCCTTGAATGTCAGTAAGTATAAGTGGGCGTGCTTGTCTATATAAAAAGAATTTAATTGTAAATATTCCGTACTGATTAGAGTTGAGAAAATGTTGGAATGTCAGGTATTTCAGAGATAAGTAATCAATCTTAACAATCTGTGTGTTTGTTTTCATTTGATTTTTCGATGTACTTTTAATTGGTGTTGCATGTTGCTGTAATGTTTGTATTGTGTTTATATATTCAGTTTTGTTTTTGTAGGACGATCAAAAAAAAAGATAATTTTTAAGCATAACTTTTTTAAGTTTTAAAACAATTAAAACATTATTGGCTTTGAAAGCCTATCTTTAAATTGGATATATCTGTAATGTAAATGGAAAAATAAATTAATAAAATTGTAAGGTACGAAAAAGTTCATGATAAAGTCAACAAAATATAATTTAATTTAATATTTAAAAATATTAGATAAATTATTATTAGAGAAGCGATTTAATATGTTTTTTTTTGAAAACAGACTGTCGCATATTGGTTCATCAATTCTAAGAAAAGACTTTTTTTACAAATGTATATGTAAATTTATTGCTACCAAAATATTTCAAATATTAATAAAACTTAATAAATAAATGTAATAGAGACTTTGAAACATTTCTTCTGTTTCTGTTCGGTGCTTTCAAAAACTAGACTAAAATTCTGTGGAGCTGCTAATTTTGAGAAAATAAGTTCAGTCCATGAGATTGAGATGAATTATTTCTAAAAATTTGCTAGTAACACGCACATATCTTAAGTTATGATATGTATGAGCTGTATGACTACATGTGATATCGCTATAAATTTATCCGTTTGACAATTTTAACTTAACTTAATTTTTTAATATTTTTAAAAGATTTTTTGATATTTATTCTGTAAAAGAATGAATGAAATGATTTAAAACATGACACAAAAACACTAATTTATAAAAGAAATATTCCAAAAATAGTTATTTAAAACTAAACTGAGAACTGAAAATAACCGATATTGTTGTGTCAGCAGGAACCAGAACTAAAAAGATATATGCTTTTTTAATTGAATCGGAAATAAAACTTAAACGAAGATATTTCCCCTTATTATTTTGTTGAACTCTGCAAACGATAGTATAAGAATCAATATACTATTTAGAATTAACGTTGTTTTTACCATTAACTCTAAGCTTTTCTGTATATATTTTCAAAAAAGATGTTTTGTACGCTATGTATATATAAAAGTACGTTCTAATGCTCCTCCAAGGAGTTTATGGGAATTTATATATATATTACATTTAAAAGTTTGAATTTATTAATAAAGTATCTATGCTTAGTGATTAGTTTCTGAATAATAACACATAATATTTTATGTGTTGAGAGAAATAATAATACATTGCCTAGTAGGAATATCAAAATGTATTATTGTATATTCTAAGCTATGAATGTTATAATAGCCGTATTTTTTACTTTCAGAGTAGCAAAAATAATACTCACAACTTACGAAAGAAAACACGTGATGCAACAACAATGCTCTTAAAATCCTCAGAGTTAGGTTTTACTCGTAAAAATGTTTAAGTGTTAAGTTTTAGTGCAACTAAATTGAAAAATCAATCTATTGTGAATGTTCATTGGAAATATTTTGCAAAATTCAAGTCATCCGTTAAAGTCATATGAGCATATCAATTACTAATAAGTTCAAATATATAATTAAATTAATTTAAATATACAAGATAAAAATGCTCACCATTGCTTTTCTTATATTCATTTAATTTTAATTTATTTGAATTAACAATTTTTTGTGTACAATTTTTATATTTCATATTGTATACAATACAACAAAAAACATATGTCAAATAAAAGCATTCAACATATTTTAAAAGTGCTGCCAATTTCTTTCAACCAGACTTAATGTTATTTTATTCTTACTCTAAAAGAAAAAATTACTACTAATTTAGTTTTATATATTAATTTTATATTATAATTATTTTAATAATTTTTTCAACATTTATCCCTTATTTTATATATAAAATATTATTAAAAATAATTACACTGACAATTTACTTTAGAAGAGTCAAATCAAAGAAAACTACTATAGACTCCAAGATTTAATCCGTTCTATTTATTATATTTTTCATATTGTTTTTAACATTTATTATAAACATATTCATTTATATATCAAATTATATTTAAATTCTTCCTGTTGCAATTCGCAAACAATTTTAGAGCGGATAAGCGAAATCCTTTTTCAAAGCTCAAAGCATATTTTTTTCCCATCGTTTGTCCCTTCTTTTTTCTCCTCTTCTGCCTGTTTATGCATTAAGAACTTAGCAAAAATCACGCCTAACA